AGGAAATTTGTAGGGAATACAATAAACAGTCATTTGGAATTAGCTAGACTTTTTTAACTATTCACCTTTAATAGGTATTTTTTCATATTTTCATACAAATATATTTTCAACTTTTAAATCTTTTCCTAAAAAATTACGATTATTTTAAATATACAAAAATGATAGTGAAAAACCTTTTACTACTATAAAATTATGGTAAGTTAAATAAACTTTTTTATTCCTAAATAATATAGATTGTCAACTCACAGTAATATTTTTGTAAATTTTATTAGTTACAGTTATGGTCGAATAAAAGGTGATGACAAATGGAACAATACCTTCGAAATTACTATGGTCATCGTTATTTTTTTGTATTTTTTTAATGTTCTAGTAATACAAGCTAAAACGTTTTTATTAGTTACTTTTATAATTGTTTTATAAACCTGAGTCTTTATTGCTTAGGCAAGAAGTTGAAATAGTTACAATATAATATACAATTATAGTTGTTAAATTGTGATGTCTCATTATTGCTTTTTTTTTGTAGTTATCTTTGTTTCAGTAAAACTTTAAAAATTGTTATTTTTTATTTTTTTTTCTTTAACACATATTTCTTGATAAAATAATCTTACTATTTTAAATAAGCAATTTTAAAAATATAAATAATTAAATTAAACACCAAATAAAATTATAGAGTTCTTCTATTACCTAAAACCCAGTTTCTGAATGTAATACTAATAATTCCATCTAAGTTCTCACCGAAACCGGCAAATCCAACCAATTGCTGAGTAAAAAAGCATATTATTTCTACTAAGTTCTAAAAGTTGCAGTTACGGTTAATGGCCGAATAAATACCTGAGTATTCCTACTAAGTCTCGATTAAAACCTACTTTTACTACTAAATTCAATGCGAGTCCTCGTCAGGAACTTACTAAGTATTACCAATACGATTTACTTAGTACCATATATTTTTTTCCACTCAAAATTTCAAGTCCAATCGAAGACATATAACATATTTTAATATATTTAACTTTGCCGTAATTATTTATGGCAAAAAAAAAAATCGAAAAAAAGATTTCTTATTGTTAAATTAAATTCTAAAGCTTTCTTAAAATATGCTCTTTTTTTTTTACAACAATCATTATTATATGTTTCAAGTTTGTATAAATGTCTACCACAAGTATATACAATATCTAAAAAGCGTAAACAATGCTGTTTTACGCATGCACATTTGACAGCGAATTAAAATAGTTAATTTAAAAGTTAGTGGTTTATAATATAAAGTGCTGGCTACGCATTTAAAAAATATACAGTATATATAATTTAAGTCCGTTGTGTCAAAATATAAGTCCGTTGCAACATAGGGCTATTACGGACATGGTTGTGGTTGTCGTAGATATATGTATTTATATATTATAATAATACTGTGAAGTTGTAATGAGGTTACAAACTATATTTGTTCTTTTTTTTATATGTTTTTTTTTCTTTTCTTTTTATTTATTACTTTTTATAGTTTAAGTTGTTCTTACTACATTTTATTATATTAATTGTTCTTTTACATTGAATACATATCAATAAATTGGTTTTGTTAAATGTGAGATCTTTTAGTTTTTCAGAGCAATAAAATTATCCAAATCAGTAAGTTTTATATTTTGAGGTATTATTTTGCTGTATAAAAAGGGGCCACGTTTTACAATTGAAAATTCTGAAAAATTTCTTTTCTTTTGGGGCAATGTGAAGTTTCCCCTTTCTTGTGTGATATATCTGTTGGCGTTAGTTTGAGAAAAGTTATTAGTAACACGAGTTGGGACAAATTCGAGCTTATTTTAAGCAAAAATAAAACATTTCAGAGCTGTTATTTTGATAGATAATTAAACCATTCAAGTTTTTAAGTAAATGATTGGCATGAGTGAATTTATTTTTATTATAAATCAACCTTCATGCGTGTTTCTGGTGTATATATAGAAAATTAAGTTTAGATTTATTTGTACTTCCTCGGGCAATATTAACATATGTTAGACAACTTTATATAAAAGAAAAGTAGAGAATTTTTCTGGGAAAATATTGGTTTGACTTTGTAAAGTAAATCGATTTTATATGATTTTTATTTGATTGATTTTGTATTTAATATTTTTACTAGGGTTTTCAAAGAAATCGTTTCGACAATAATTATCCCAAGAAATTTAATGGTTTTAATTCTTCCAATGTTTATGTTATCCATTTTTAGTAACGGTAGCATGCTTGGTAATTTATTTTTTGCTGGCTGGAATAAAACAAGATGTCTTTTGTTTTTTTCTGTGTTTAACAATAATTTATTTACTTTAAACCAAATGTTTAGATTCTCAAGGTTCACATATTCAAAAAGGTTTTTAATTGATGCTGATGAATAAAACAAATTTGTGAAATCAGCAAACATTATTGAATTGAGGTTTTTTAGGGAGTGTTGAAGATCTTTGATATAAGTTAAAAATAAAAGAGGATCAAAAATGGAGCCTTGGAGAACTCTGCATTTTGTTTTTAGTAA